TAGGTAGTCTGTTTATACAGGAACCCGCACTTCTGTGTGAACACAGGAAGTCATATGTTTTGACAAATACATATTAATAAATAATTTATGTCCTTCAAACGACTGTTTAATACTGCTATAAATGGTTTGTAGGAGCATTTAAAGTGTTACACAAATAAATGCTTTAATTGAAGGCAGCATCAGCTTAAAAAAATGAACTACCACCTTAATCATGATAACCTGAAACACTCATAAAAGTTTGTTTTTACTGCAAGACTTTTGTATTGTCATTTGAAGGTGTTTCTGTTATTATGTCCACCCCCTGGAGCCTGTAATCAACATAGAAATAACAATGAAATATTAACAAAAGACAAAGATACCACAGGTGCATTGCAATAGTGTTAAGGTAAATGTTTCCTTTAAATCAGAAGGGCTGAAACAAGGCACACTCTGAGGGGGAGGTGGGGGGGGGGGGTCTACCAAGCTGTAAATATGTTGTTATTTATGCATGTTCTATGTTATGTCCCTGTTCAGTCTAATAAATATAAAGCTAAGCTCTGTGTGGTTGTTATAAAAATCACATGTTGGGTCAGAACATCAATTCATCTGCGCTCCACACACACGGCTCCACCTCGGTCTAGATGTTCCCGTTGGCTGGAGAGGAGAGCTCGGCTATCTTAGTATTCAGTTTCTGATTGGTCCAGTCCTTTGTGATGTCATCCAGGTGGCTGTCGAAATCCACCAACAGCGAGTGGTCGCCCGACTCCAGCATCTGAGTGGCTATCGACCGGATCTCGTCCCACTGTCTCAGCATTATCCTGAACACACAAAGACAAGTCAGTGTTCATGTTATTTAGACATTTATATTAAGCCTGGAGTTTTTTTTTAAATCAAGGAACTAACAATTTGGGGGGAAAGTAAACATATTTTAATCAATGTTACAAGTCAAGAAAAATAAGAATTCAATTCATTGAATCGCACAGAAAATAAATCTGCTGTCCAACTACTTTGGGGGGATTTTATAAAGTGACCCAAGTTATACTGAATGAAAGCATAAAATAATTAAGAACTAGGAGCTTTACCACTTCCCACAGTAAAAGGTTCAAGATGAATGTGTATGGTAACGTGTGAATTATGAAGCTATTACTTGTCATTGCACTTGATCATGACAGGTGATGAAATAAAAATAAAATAGTTATCTAGGGTGCTATTAAACAAGCCACATCGATCAAGCGGTTTGGACCAAAGAGAGTTATGTTTGAAACGGGAAAGTAGAGTCAGTTTTCAACTCAAGAGGCTGAACTCATGACAAAAGATGTCCCCCTTCCGTCCGGCTGTCACTCACGTGTGTTTGTCTTTGAGCAGCCATCTTGAATCTTTGCGCTCGTACATCACGATGGGAGGAACCCGGTCTGAACACATCTTACTGCCATCAAGCTGTGGAGCAAAACAAGCATTTCTAACAAATCAACAAAATCATATATAGTGACATTGCAGAGAGAATTGGAGGAGTACACTTTTTAACTCCTCTGATCATCTTATTGTTTCACCACTAACTTATTTCTCATCTCTACAAACAGTGTTAAAGGGGACCTATCATGCAAAATGCACTTTTTGATGTCTTTTATACATGAATATGTGTCCCCGGTGTGTCAGGGAACTCACGCAGCGTCAGAAAATAAAACCCTCTCTGTTGGGGAATCATTTGCCCTGCATGTCCTCCTTCTTCCTCTGATGCAGCTTGAGCAGCCGTTATCTCCCATAAGGAGGGGCTGCCCTAGCATATTGTTGATGTTGCCAGTTTGTGACCGGGCAACTCTCTGTCAGAGATAGTTATTGTTGTGGGACACCTGGAACACATCCTTATCGGGGTGTAGATGACCCCGAGCCATAAGCGACAACAAATGTGATTCAGTGTCCCTCAGCTGTTTAGTCTATCTATTGAAGAATGTTGATTATTACACTCTGAACTAGTTAAACCCTGGAGCTACAGGAGGGGTCTTCAGAATTGATTGTGGCATCTCAACCGTGTGGTCAACTCGTGGCCCGTGACATGTCTTGTGAATTCTACGGCCGAAGCTCCAAATAAACCGTCAGTGTTTGCCATCAAAGCTCCAGCTCTCCTCGTGTCTCTCTGAGTCCTGACCGCCAATTGCTTCAGAAGTTTCCCCCACACTCTCTTTTCCTCCGTACCCAAATCTCTAAAAACGGGGCTACAACGGAGCTGATCCAGATTTGCGTCCGATATGACAGAAATGTAGGCTGGCTTTACACCCACTGCCCTATCAGAAAGTTGCTATCAGAAACAATGCACGACTGTTTTGGACATAATATGGTCGGTGTTTACATTAGCATCACTAACACTCAGAGCTAACCTGTACTGGAGAGCATGTTTGTGAAGAAGCAGGACGTAAAAAGGAACTCACCTTGTGGTATAACCGGCAAGAGAGAAAGCCTTTGAGCTCCATACTGTTTCAGAAATAATCCTTGATAATCCATGATATGGCGTTTCATCACGGCAGTATTTAGTTTAGACAGTAGCTGCCGGGTCCCGCATGAGCTCAGACCCCTCCTTTTTTATTTTTTATCAATTCTTTTATTTTTAAAGCTTTATACCCCAAATCAGCCCTTTTGAAACAGGAAGTGAAATAGAGGTATATGAGGCATGGCTAGAATGGGTGATCTGTTTGGTATTTTGAGCAAAACACTTCATAGACATATTTTTTATATATTTTTATATATCTGAGACCTATGCTATTGCCTAAAAATAGCATGATAGGTGCACTTTAAATCTCTTACCATTAACAAAACTGCATTGTCAAACTGCTCAGAAATCTTATCCGCTATCTTCATTGCACATGGTGTCGGGCTGTGGGGTTTAAGGGAAGAGCACAGATTTAACAGAAAGCTAGAAAGGTTAACATTTGACCAAAATACTGAACTTACATATTTGAACATTTTACTAAACGTTCAATAGTAAAAAGCAGGAAACTAACCTGCTGTCTGTCACACAGGCGTTGGCTTGATAGTATCCCACTATCCTCTGCTTAGTCTGTGAACACCACACATCAACCTGAAACCAGAGAGCAAACCAAAAGACATCAATTATCTCAAATGCAAAACTGGAAACACTTACAGAAAGAGTTTTGGGGACTCTTCTCGTCACAATAAAGCTTTCTCTGCAGCACAAGAGCCAGTCAAGTCATTTGATCTGGTATAACACCTAGAGTTAGTTTCACAAGTTAATAATTTATTGTCCATTAATATGGTAAAAGGTATAGTCAATAAAACACTAATTAGTGCAACAATATTTGAAGGAGATGAAAGATGGGACAATCATATCGATTTAAAAGTAAGCTGTTCATTGACCCAGTTTCCTTTACCATTGCCCAATAGTTTAATGTTGACTAGATAACATAGCATGGCACAACATATTAGAAAATCGGAACATTAAACCAATAGATGAGGGCTGAGGATGTTTTTGTAAATTGTTTTTAACTTGGCTGAGGGTATTACTCTGCAAAAAGGACGTGTGTATTTTCCAGCTACCTGAATAAAGTCACACTTTGAAGTGTAGCATCCCCCAGTTTGGAATTAGTATGATAACTCAGTAAGGGGATCTGAATAGTTCTTTCACCACTGGATGTTCAGCATGAGTCCTCCTACCTGTGTCAGGGCCAGCTGGGTGATGGGAGCCAGGGGCAGGTGGGAGTGAAGCAGCGGGACACAGTCTGTCACACACACAGCCCCGCCTGCAGAGCTGGAGGACAGCAGCAGCCCGTTGATGCTGCACCGAGGGAACAGAGAGGCGTGCAGGAACATCTTCACATAGGCCCGACAAGACAGCTCCACCTCACCCATGATGACTTACTGAGAGAAGAACACAGAGACAAAGACAGTAACAACTGGCTTCAAAAGACGCCCAGCGGAGGCTAAATGTACGTATACATCACATGTGAACAAAATAGATAATTCCCACAAGTAGTAGTCAACAATTCACACCATAAATCAGGAAAATAAGCCCCCCAAGACCTTAGCTCAGGGATCAAGCTAACCGGCTGCTCCTTTAATATGTATTAGCATTAGCATTCTAGCAAACCAGAGCTGAATTCAATCTTACCTTCTGAGATGAGATATAATATAGTAAGCGTAGCCTCGACAAACAGATCCGTACTTTGCAATTATCAAATATAGCTGTTCATAAGGGTTTAGAAGCGGCTGTAATGTTTTAGGAGAGCTGTTACGGCTAACTGTTTTACTTGAGAGAAATCGTCTGAACGTGTTTCCGGTTCCGCCCATAGGAGTTTCTTCTTCCAATTGGCCGATTCTGTGATCCAATAGCTATACGGCGCTGGGCTACATGCACTAGGGTTCGTGACGTAATACTGCTTATTGGTCCAACAAAGTGCCAATCATTAGCAGCTGACTTTTTACAGTAGTGTGACCTCTAGTGGAAAGGATATCATTTATGATAATTAATTCTGCGTGTAATAAAAATGGGATTTATATAATTCGAAAAGTGGTGAAATTAGATTTAAACTGAAAGTACTTATACCACTACAAGTACTTTCCTCTACAAACAAATTCTTTAGCCAATTCAGGAATATCTTGAGGGCTTTGTCATTATGCTCAACACTGTAATAGTGTACATTATATTAATGCAAGTAATATAAATATAGGGAAAGAATAAAAGTGCAATAAATGCTGATGGTAAACCATATGTAAAAATAAACAGTACATTCAAATACGTAAATAAAATGCTTTTAGGCTTAGATGTTAACGTTTCTGCAAATTGTAAATCCTTTGGTAGGTTAATCTTCAGCATTGCAGAATGTCTGTAGTTGTGTTACCGTCCTGAGAGAACCATGCATCTCTTAAGTGAAAACAACTTTTCAGTTTAAAAAAATAAAGCCCCTTTCAGCTTTTTGAAAATACTTGCTCCTTCAGTTCATCAAAAACAAACAAATGTTGTAGAGACAGGATTTTGATTTATAGGAGGGAATAAACAAAATAGTAAACAATGAATTGATACACTTTTTTATTTTGAAAGGGCAATACAGGGCTCAGTTGAAAGCAGTCTTTGACGAACCTTCAGTGTCACCTAAAACACAAAAACAGACTTTGTAAAATCAGTATTTAAAAGCTTGAGTCATATTGCAGAGTTCAAATGCATACCCCGCCCATTGCTGCTCTGGACTTGAGCAAGTTCATAGCCATAGCCTCTTTCGTCACCATTGGTGCTGTACCTGGAATAAAGTCAAGGTGGACAGATTACACAGATTCTGCCTATCTTTCCAATAAAACAGCATTAGCTAAACTTACCCATTTGAAGCCATTCGGGAAGCAACTCCTTGGGCAACAGTTTCATAATCAATGAGGTTTGGCTGCTGCCTCTTGTTCATGAACTTAGGCAGGTAACGCGGCTGCCCAGGCAATTTCTGCCAGGGCAACTTCTGCCAGGGCAACTTCTGCCAAGGCAACTTCTGCCAGGGCAACTTCTGCCAAGGCAACTTCTGCCAAGGCAACTTCTGCCAAGGCAACTTCTGCCAAGGCAACTTCTGCCAAGGCAACTTCTGCCAAGGCAACTTCTTGGATGGGAAGGAAGGCATCGGTAACCGGTTAGCCGGTCTCTGCATGTAAGAACCATAGATCTTGTTCAGGTTGTTCGACAGGTATCCTGACTGCTCAGGCTGCTGGTTCTCATAGCCTGACTGCTGCTGGGGCAACTGCTGCTGGGGCAACTGCTGCTGGGGCTTTTTGGGCAGCTGGGGCTTCTGACGCTGGGGCGGGTAGCTAGGCTGTTGCTGGGGAACTTGCCATTGCTGGGAAGGGTAGCCAGGCTGATTAGGCAATTGCTGCTGAGGCTTTTGGGGCAACTGACGCGGGGGCAGCTGTTGCTGGGGCAACTGACGCCAGGGTGGATAGCTAGGATGTTGCTGGGGCAGTTGTTGCTGGGACACCTGACGTTCAGGCTGCTGCTCTGGCTTCTGGGGCAGTTTTGGCTGTGGAACATGCCCTTGCTGGGCTGGGTAGCGTTGCTGCTGGGGAAATTGCAGCTGGGGGGCTTCCAGCTCCTGCTGGGGCTGCTGGGGCAACTGACGCTCCGGCTGCTTGGGAGGGTAGCTTGGCTGCTGGGGCAACTGACGCTCCGGCTGCTTGGGAGGGTAGCTTGGCTGCTGGGGCAACTGACGCTCCGGCTGCTGGGGAGGGTAGCTTGGCTGCTGGGGCAACTGACGCTCCGGCTGCTGGGGAGGGTAGCTTGGCTGCTGGGGCAACTGACGCTCCGGCTGCTTGGGAGGGTAGCTTGGCTGCTGGGGCAACTGAAGCTCCGGTTGCTGGAGAGGGTAGCTTGGCTGCTGGGGCAACTGAAGCTCTGGCTGCTTGGGAGGGTAGCTTGGCTGCTGGGGCAACTGACGTTCCGGCTGCTGGGGAGGGTAGCTTGGCTGCTGGGGCAACTGAAGCTCCGGCTGCTTGGGAGGGTGGCTTGGCTGCTGGGGTAACTGACGCTCCGGCTGCTTGGGTGGGTAGCTTGGCTGCTGGGGCAACTGAAGCTCCGGCTGTTGGGGAGGGTAGCTTGGCTGCTGGGGCAACTGAAGCTCCGGCTGTTGGGGAGGGTAACTTGGCTGCTGGGGCAACTGAAGCTCCGGTTGCTTGGGAGGGTAGCTTGGCTGCTGGGGCAACTGAAGCTCCGGTTGCTGGAGAGGGTAGCTTGGCTGCTGGGGCAACTGAAGCTCTGGCTGCTTGGGAGGGTAGCTTGGCTGCTGGGGCAACTGAAGCTCCGGCTGCTTGGGAGGGTGGCTTGGCTGCTGGGGCAACTGACGCTCCGGCTGCTTGGGTGGGTAGCTTGGCTGCTGGGGCAACTGAAGCTCCGGCTGTTGGGGAGGGTAGCTTGGCTGCTGGGGCAACTGAAGCTCCGGCTGTAGGGGAGGGTAACTTGGCTGCTGGGGCAACTGAAGCTCCGGTTGCTTGGGAGGGTAGCTTGGCTGCTGGGGCAACTGAGGCTCCGGCTGCTTGGGAGGGTAGCTTGGCTGCTGGGGTAACTGAAGCTCCGGCTGCTTGGGAGGGTAGCTTGGCTGCTGGGGCAACTGACGCTCCGGCTGCTTGGGAGGGTAGCTTGGCTGCTGGGGCAACTGACGCTCCGGCTGCTTGGGAGGGTAGCTTGGCTGCTGGGGCAACTGACGCTCCGGCTGTTGGGGAGGGTAGCTTGGCTGCTGGGGCAACTGAAGCTCCGGCTGCTTGGGAGGGTAGCTTGGCTGTTGGGGTAACTGAAGCTCCGGCTGCTTGGGACGGTAGCTTGGCTGCTGGGGCAACTGACGCTCCGGCTGCTTGGGAGGGTAGCTTGACTGCTGGGGCAACTGAAGCTCCGGCTGTTGGGGAGGGTAGCTTGGCTGCTGGGGCAACTGAAGCTCCGGCTGTTGGGGAGGGTAGCTTGGCTGCTGGGGCAACTGAAGCTCCGGCTGCTTGGGAGGGTAGCTTGACTGCTGGGGCAACTGACGCTCCGGCTGTTGGGGAGGGTAGCTTGGCTGCTGGGGCAACTGACGCTCCGGCTGTTGGGGAGGGTAGCTTGGCTGCTGGGGCAACTGACGCTCCGGCTGTTGGGGAGGGTAGCTTGGCTGCTGGGGCAACTGAAGCTCTGGCTGCTTGGGAGGGTAGCTTGACTGCTGGGGCAACTGACGCTCCGGCTGTTGGGGAGGGTAGCTTGGCTGCTGGGGCAACTGACGCTCCGGCTGTTGGGGAGGGTAGCTTGGCTGCTGGGGCAACTGACGCTCCGGCTGTTGGGGAGGGTAGCTTGGCTGCTGGGGCAACTGAAGCTCCGGCTGCTTGGGAGGGTAGCTTGACTGCTGGGGCAACTGAAGCTCCGGCTGTTGGGGAGGGTAGCTTGACTGCTGGGGCAACTGAAGCTCCGGCTGTTGGGGAGGGTAGCTTGGCTGCTGGGGCAACTGAAGCTCCGGCTGCTTGGGAGGGTAGCTTGACTGCTGGGGCAACTGAAGCTCCGGCTGTTGGGGAGGGTAGCTTGGCTGTTGGGGCAACTGAAGCTCCGGCTGTTGGGGAGGGTAGCTTGGCTGCTGGGGCAACTGAAGCTCCGGTTGCTTGGGAGGGTAGCTTGACTGCTGGGGCAACTGAGGCTCCGGCTGCTTGGGAGGGTAGCTTGGCTGCTGGGGCAACTGAAGCTCCGGTTGCTGGAGAGGGTAGCTTGGCTGCTGGGGCAACTGACGCTCCGGCTGCTTGGGAGGGTAGCTTGGCTGCTGGGGCAACTGACGCTCCGGCTGCTTGGGAAGGTAGCTTGGCTGCTGGGGCAACTGACGCTCCGGCTGCTGGGGAGGGTAGCTTGGCTGCTGGGGCAACTGTAGCTCCGGCTGCTTGGGAGGGTAGCTTGGCTGCTGGGACAACTGAAGCTCCGGCTGCTTGGGAGGGTAGCTTGGCTGCTGGGGCAACTGACGCTCCGGCTGTTGGGGAGGGTAGCTTGGCTGCTGGGGCAACTGACGCTCCGGCTGTTGGGGAGGGTAGCTTGGCTGCTGGGGCAACTGAAGCTCCGGCTGTTGGGGAGGGTAGCTTGGCTGCTGGGGCAACTGACGCTCCGGCTGCTTGGGTGGGTAGCTTGGCTGCTGGGGCAACTGAAGCTCCGGCTGTTGGGGAGGGTAGCTTGGCTGCTGGGGCAACTGAAGCTCCGGCTGTTGGGGAGGGTAGCTTGGCTGCTGGGGCAACTGAAGCTCCGGTTGCTGGGGAGGGTAGCTAGGTTGCTGGGGCAACTGAGGCTTCTGGAGCAGGTAGCTAGGTCGCTGGGGAAACCAACGCTCCGGCTGTTGGGGAGGGTAGCTTGGCTGCTGGGGCAACTGAAGCTCCGGTTGCTGGGGAGGGTAGCTTGGCTGCTGGGGCAACTGAGGCTTCTGGGGAGGGTAGCTTGGCTGCTGGGGCAACTGAAGCTCCGGTTGCTTGGGAGGGTAGCTTGGCTGCTGGGGCAACTGAAGCTCCGGCTGTTGGGGAGGGTAGCTTGGCTGCTGGGGCAACTGAAGCTCCGGCTGTTGGGGAGGGTAGCTTGGCTGCTGGGGCAACTGAAGCTCCGGCTGTTGGGGAGGGTAGCTTGGCTGCTGGGGCAACTGAAGCTCCGGCTGTTGGGGAGGGTAGCTTGGCTGCTGGGGCAACTGACGCTGGGGCAGCTTTTGCTGGGGCAGCTGTTGCTGGGGCAACTGCCGTTCAGGCTGTTGCTCTGGCTTCTGGGGCAGTTTTGGCTGTGGAACATACCATTGCTGGGCTCTGTAGCGTTGCTGGGGCAACTGAAGCTCCGGCTGTTGGGGAGGGTAGCTTGGCTGCTGGGGCAACTGAAGCTCCGGCTGTTGGGGAGGGTAGCTTGGCTGCTGGGGCAACTGAAGCTTTTGACCGTACACAGTCACCTGTGGCTGTTGAGGACAAAAATGTACCTTTATTGATACCCACAGGGAAACTCAGGTGTCTCAGCAGCAACAGAAATGAATTGTAAATAATGTGGAAAATGTAACAGTATAAATTAAAATGAAAGGTTTAACATGTATAGTACAAGGATGAATTTAGGATTCCAGGCAAAGATTGGAAGATAAGTTGCTGAAATACATTTTTAGATGGTAATTGGTAATGTGTGGCATGTTGTAGCTGCTCACCTTGTATGCATTTGAGGTTGAAGCAACACCGTGCGGCCAAGTGCTAGATGAAGACCCGTCTCCAATGTTGAAGCCACTTGAATCTGGGCGATAGCCTGCAACTGGCACATCATCTCCATACTCCTCAGTAGATCTAATAACGCGAACTGTAGAACAAACATTTTTTAGCCCATGCAGAAAAAACCAAGCAGCTTCACAACGTGACTAAACTTACAATTTGCTTGATTTCCCCCAACAGCTAGCACAGACAACAGCAACCATCTAGACAAGAAAATCCAAAGTTACTATCACTGTAAGAATGAGTTGCACAATTTAAATAATTACACAAACATTTTGTAAAACTTACCTGAAGAGGAACCCCATAGCGACAGCTAGCAGAGTCACTTTGTCTGAACACCAGAGTCACTTTGTCTGAACACCAAACCACTCAACTGAACCAGTCAGAAAAGAAGAAGTGACTGCAGAAACTCAGGAGCCCTTTTTAAGCTCACCCACCTTTCCTTGTTGATTAGCTGGACATATGAGTCATTAAAGGCAGGTGTGTCTAATTGGCTGAGGTCCACTGCATTATGGGAACTATTCATAGGCCATTTGCCATTTCACTCTTTCCGTATGTTTAAAAACGTTGTTGCAAAACGTTTGGTATCCTCTCCTCAAAGTACAACAGCACAATATACTTTTTGTAAACGTACCTTGTCATTATGTTATTTCAGCCACACTTAATATCATGACTTAAAGATTTACAGGATAAATCACATGCATTATAAAACAGACGCATATCTGTTTGTCTGCCGGGAGGTGTGTGGCACAGTGGATAGAGCCTTAGTATGGGGATCAGCTGACTTTTTACAGTAGTGTGACCTCTAGTGGAAAGGATATCATTTATAATTAATTCTGCGTGTAATAAAAATGGGATTTATATAATTCGAAAAGTGGTGAAATTAGATTTAAACTGAAAGTACTTATACCACTACAAGTACTTTCCTCTACAAACAAATTCTTTAGCCAATTTAGGAATATCTTGAGGGCTTTGTCATTATGCTCAACACTGTAATAGTGTACATTATATTAATGCAAGTAATATAAATATAGGGAAAGAATAAAAGTGCAATAAATGCTGATGGTAAACCATATGTAAAAATAAACAGTACATTCAAATACTGCATATTGTAATACGTAAATAAAATGCTTTTAGGCTTAGATGATAACGTTTCTGCAAATTGTAAATCCTTTGGTAGGTTAATCTTCAGCATTGCAGAATGTCTGTAGTTGTGTTACCATCCTGAGGGAACCATGCATCTCTTAAGTGAAAACAACTTTTCAGTTTAAAAAAATAAAGCCCCTTTCAGCTTTTTGAAATACTTGCTCCTTCAGTTCATCAAAAACAAACAAATGTTGTAGAGACAGGATTTTGATTTATAGGAGGGAATAAACAAAATAGTAAACAATGAATTGATACACTTTTTTATTTTGAAAGGGCAATACAGGGCTCAGTTGAAAGCAGTCTTTGACGAACCTTCAGTGTCACCTAAAACACACTTTGTAAAATCAGTATTTAAAAGCTTGAGTCATATTGCAGAGTTCAAATGCATACCCCGCCCATTGCTGCTCTGGACTTGAGCAAGTTCATAGCCATAGCCTCTTTCGTCACCATTGGTGCTGTACCTGGAAGAAAGTCAAGGTGGACAGATTACACAGATTCTGCCTATCTTTCCAATAAAACAGCATTAGCTAAACTTACCCATTTGAAGCTGTTGTGGCGATCCAAGCACTCACACAACATGAAAGAATGAAACAGAGAGGAATCAATGAAACACAAACACAGGAATAGTTGAGATTAATCATTATTATTTAGTTGCGCACCACTAAACAATAATGGGGAAACATTACCTTGCTTCAAGAGCAACCAATCGCAGAAATGGTCCCACAAATATTCAGAAACACACGACACTTATAGGTTTCCTAAATGACACACGAACATGTTCCCTAATCATGTTTAACGCACACACATTGTCAGGTCTCCTAAACTTGGACGCACCAACATCAGAGCAACATGTAAGTTCCAGATGTCAAAAGGTCATTATCTCATGAAGTCTTTAGGAGCCTTGCAGGATATGAATTATCCAATTAACAAACTATATATATCGTCTGCACATGAGCGCACATACATTTCTTTACATTAACTAACACACCAACATCCTTATCGTTTCTTAGCTAATGCATGCTGTAATGAACCACTAACTAACAAGACTTTAACTGTATTATATCTGAGGAAGACCTCTCTTGGAGTTCCTCTGACCTTTGCCAATTTACTTAACATGGGTACATCTGCTGTTAATTGCAAAGACCATTGAGAATTAGCAAAGAGACTCATAGGCCTCTTCCAATATCTGGAAACTGTAATTAAATCATAGTTATATTGAGAAGGTCCAAGACTTGACATAACATTCCCTCCTTTTATTAATTTAAGTTTCCAGATCATACAAAAAAACTCTTACAAATAACCTTTTGAGTTCCGCCCTTGAAAGTCCAAAATGACTTTCTGAAAAATACTTATCAATGAATAATCATTTTACTCAAGGCAGAAGTCACAGGGTTACCTGTACTACTCACAAATAGCCAAAAAACCACCCTTTTGATTATAACACAAAAAGTGGAAGAAAAGACAATTTGCGCTAATCTACTCTTACTTAAATGGAAAATCATTTAAAAACCTCAGTATGCTTAAGAGGAAAAAATCAATTTGTCCTATTCAAGTTTAACAAACTTACATACATACATAATAACAAAGTAACATTCAATTTAATACTTGATTATACATAATAAAAAATCTTCCAAAACACTTATAGCAAGATGTAACTGGCGTACACTCTTTGTGCTTCTGTTATATTGTCCAGTGAACGCTTCTTCAGGTGGTGCACGTTCCGATCTCCATGCGTAGCCTTTAGATGGAATATCTATCTTAGCCTTCATGCTGTGGTGTCCCATCTCATAGCAAAATCCCTTGATGACATCTGAAGCAACATCATTACCATTTGAATTGGACGGAACTGTAGTCAGAAAAACTGAGACTTCTTTAAAAGAACAGTTTAACGGTAGATCTTCTTCTCTGGAGTTTGAGATTACTAATATACTTGGCTGTAAATCATCTCAGAAGTTTTGGGTTTTGTTCTTCGTGTTGACCCAAACCCATAAGACAATAGCAGTGGAAGAATAGCTGGAACTGAAGGTAGTCATCCAGCTGCCTTCATTGACACTCCAGTTTGCCTCCAGACGCAGCTCCTTAAACCTCTGCATCAGAATGATCCATCTTCCCTCCTTCAGATTGCAAGGGAAAGACAGCTTTGACCTGGGTAGAAAATAGCACTTGCATTCTGGGTTAACAGCCTAAAGTCAACCACTAGGTCTTAGAGTCTTACCTATAATTTTTAAACTTCTTGAAACCATGAAATGTTGTTTGTGTTGTGTTTTTACTTACCCACAATTTCCTAAGCACACAACAAACATATTCTGCAAAATTGTTCAGCCACGGTGCTGAAACCAATCAGATCCCAACTTCGAACATTACATTTAATCATACCTATCTTTAGCAGAACCCAATCAGGAGCTTAACCATGTAGGAAAAAAGTTGTTTAGGCAACAAGTTGTTTCATTTTCCCTCTGGATCATGTGAAGGTTAACAAATTCACGTGAACAAGAACAATAAACCCATTATACCCCTCCTGGAAACATTGTCCTCTAAACCATAGAGACCATGTTTCCCCAAGTAAGATACCTCAGAGTACCCATCTGCTCATATATTGTTATTTCAAAGTCCTATGACTCATCATCAGGAAAACTTTCTCCTGTCAAAAAGAATCAACAATGTTAAATATCAAGCTACATAGTCATCAAGCCATGCAGGGATCATGCATAGTCAGACAAAGTTCATGCACCATGTCTCACAATGGTTCAACTAATATTGCATAGTCAGAAATCCATGCTTCCAAAAGTAATGCGTATATCCCAAAATAAAATCACCCTGTCGGTGGGTCAGTGTTACTGTAACAGTCAGGAATTGACAAATCAATTCACATTCATTCAGTCTTTGCAAAGTCTAAGTCAGTCTCGAGATCTCATGTCCTATAGTTGTGCACTTTGATATTCTACCAGCTGGAGTTTTTAATCAGTGACATCATGGTGTTGATGTCAAACAATGCAACAAAGTTTTTCCCCGTGTTCGCAGCACAATTTGTTTCAGATGTTAAACAAACAAATTATCAATACACTTTATTAATGTACTGCCCCTAGGAAACACAAAGCCTGACAAATGTTCTTGCAAGGCATCCCTAAGTGAACCTGCAGTCATCGGCCTTTTTAATTAATTATTTGAATTAATTAATAATAATAATAATAATAGTCCTTTTTATTAATTTGTTTACCCTTAGAAGTGAACATATCTCATAATGTTACATCAGGATGTTAAACAAAGTTTTAGCCAAATCAATCATACCAAACCATTTTATAGTACCAGGTACTGAAGTAGATCAGTATTACTGTATCACATTTAACTGGTGATTGAACAAACAAAAGCCTCTTTGTTTACATCATGCAGACCACTAACACATTTTTCCAAGTTCAGCATCAGCCTTCGTTACTCTAAAATTACGTTTTAAATAGGAATATTAGAAATGGAACAAATATTCAATCTTCAGAAATGTTCTCAATAAATCTCTATCTAGTGAATAGCCAACATATTTAAAAAATAAACCTAAATACTCCTTTGCTATCAAAGTCTAAAGCTAGACATAAGGTGAACAGTTTTTTGTAATAGACAATTTAATTCTAAAAAACAAAACTGGACTCGTGTTTTTTGTTATTTATTCTTCAAAATACATTAGTAAATACTTTGTGAAGTATTCACAATATAACTAACCCTCTAGGATATCAAATCAGTTCATCTTTAACCAGATACTATTTCCCTATTTACTTTCAGTTCATTATAACAATGGTATAACAACCACACGTTTTACCCATAGCTAGTTTATATTTCAAGATTATTCTGTGTGATATAATAATCAGATGTCTTGTATGCTAAAATAAAGGATATTAATAGTATTAATCTTTTCAGTATTCTAGACCATCGTTAAACAAGCAGCCTCTCTTCTTAAACACTAAGCATAATGTTCTACACCACCCTCTGGAAAACTCTTGCACAGTTATGCTATAAAATCATTGCATCATTTCTTAAGGACAAACAGTCTGAGACAAGCCTGTCTCAAGATCTTGTCATAATGAGAACAGTCAGTGATTTGTTGTCCTCTGCAGCTGTAGTCAGTGGCAGGGTCTCCAAAAAGCTAGAAACGGCCCTGGTCAGGGCTCAAGGAAACTCTCTCTGGCATCTGAAGGGAAGGAAACTCTTGGATCAATGTGGTACAATCAGCAGACACACGTTGTCCTCTGGACAGTAGAAATCCCCAAAAATTGCAGTTCCTCTTCACACCACTGTTGCCTTGACAACAAGGGTTCATGTCCATCACAAGCAAAATGTCAAAACCTCCTCAGAGATGCGTTCTTTGCACACTTCTTCTGTTTCTGTAGTGAGCAACATTTCACCAACACACTGATTCAGAGTACAACCCAAAGGTGGCGCATAACTATCCAGTGCTGCTGTAATCACAGCCAATTAGCTACTAGAGAAAAACTCAATTTAAATCTCTCCCCCAACGGGTTACAAAATGAAATGGCTGAGTGTCCATATGGTCAGGAATGCTGAAACATGTGAATGTTAAAACAAACTAATGGTGGTAGTTTACCCAGATTCTTTACTTCACCAAAAGTAGTACAACTACATTGTAAAATCTCTTTTGTCTGCTTTAAAATCTTCTTAAATTCGAAACCAAAAAGGTCTTCCTTCTCCACCATGATGCATTTTAACATCAAAGTTCATACAAACTGATGATTTATCTTTAAAACTATGAGAAATGATAGTTTTCATAAAACACTATTCTTCTTTACTTCAGTTCTAAGTCAAATGAGCAAAACAAGAAAACCTTCATTTAAACACTATAGATTCCTCTTTTATCTACTTGCTTATTTTATTATTTTCTAATTGTTTATCTAAGTTGTGTTACAAGCATGGTTAGGGTGTAACAATACAAAACATCAAGTAACTGTATTCAATCCGTGCTATATTTGAAAAACCCAAGTAATCTGATTACAGTTAATGAATATATTTTTGGAACACTTAAAGGAATTATTGGTGGTTTCCTCACAAAATGTAATCTTCATCACTAAAGCTGAAACCTAAAGAAATCATCACGGAACAGTTTTCTTTCCTTATCACTCAATTGTTTCAATAAAAACAAAAAAGCATCTCAACATCTCAACACTTTATTCCATCTAAGCATGAATGTTTATGACAGACACGTCATATATTCCAAGAATAAATATCTCTGGGCCCTAAAGAACAATCCATTAATCCAAAACGGTCTTCAATGATATCAATTGTGAACTTTCTTAACATTAATAGTAAATTCAACGTATGTTCTCTTTAGAACAAAGATAGGATAGTTGCAGCTGAAACTGGTTAATAGCAATTTTCTGTTAACCTAGATAAGCACGTTTTTCTTATATCTAGTAATATAAATATATTTATATTTTATGTTACTCATAAAACAGTAAACCATAGGAACATTTTCCAGAATAGTAGTTAACTTTATATAACATTTACTCTCTCTAGACTCAAAACATCTTAATTCTCCTGTCTCTCT